TTCCATGCTACAAAGTGCTTTTGGAAGTGTTCAAGGCCAGGTTGGATGGGGCTCTGAGGAACCTGGTCTAGTGGAAGGTGTCCCTGCCCCTAGCAAGGAGGTAGAACTACATGATCTTTAAGGACCCTTTCAACCCAAACTATTCTGTGACTCTACAATTCCGTGAAATATTTCTGTGTTCTGAAAAGTTTTGGTAACATGCATTTTAAGGAAGAAATCTGTAAATCTCATCTAAACTACCCATCTCTACAACTATTAACAGTGAAACCATTTCTTAATTATCACATTTTATTCATTCCTACCAACACAGCAGCATCTATTCTTTATTAAAGTACAAGAGACTGCTGCCCAGATCAGAATTTTAGTATCCCCTAATACACGTATATACCATTGTACATTCATTATATATACTGCTATCTATGGTACTGCAGGTCCCTCTTTGAGAGCTGGTATTTACCAGTGGCTTGAAAGAACTCCTTGCCAAATCTCTTGCCATTATTCTTGCAACAATAGGTTGTACTCACCAGTCAGGTTGCATTTCTGTAATTGCTTTAACAATAGGGATTTCTTCCACCAAGTCCTACTAAGTCCCCAGGTGCTGAACTTTTGGGACATACTTCTTTCAGTCATAAGAACCCAATTCACAGCTTGCCTGACTGTGTGCTCATATCGGCTGTGGGATGGGAAATCAGAGAGAAACTTAAACGATCTGCTGTCACCTTCTTCTATAGAGCTGGAGATGTCAGATGACTCGGCCCTTTCACTTTTCGTGATTGCTCATTTGTGAAAGTCAAAGAGTTGCATTACTGGAGATATTCACTATGCTTTGTTTACAGTCATCATAAAACATCTACTGCAAATGAGACAAACCTTAAAGGACAGCCTTACATTTTGGCTTGCCTCGTATTTGCAGATGGAGATAGACCCCCTAAAAAGAGTTTATTACTTGCTTTGCAATGCTCTTGTAGTGAACAGTTTACTCACAACTTTTGTGCTCTGAATTCTAAATCCCATCTTGAATTTTATTTTAAGATTCAGGTTACCATAAAAAATATTTTGAGTATACAGGAGAGGTCACGACTTGATGTTTATAGTGACCAAAGCAGTGTACCATTTCCTAAGGAGTCAGCTTTTCCAAGTTTCTGGACTTCTGCTTCCTTGGCATTATTTCCTCAATCTCCCTATCTGCACACACCCAATTGCTGAACAGCAAAACTGAACTAAAATGTTGAGGTTCAACTCTAGAAAGCTCAACACAGCTCACTGCACGAAGCTTTGCCTCCTGCCGTGCTGTGGATATCATTTGATAAATCCTGGGATTTCAAATGCATGTGAAGAAACAGCCCCACAGAACATAACTTAGGCTGTGGTTTCACAGGCATTTCAAGTCAATAGAAAGTTGCCCTGATGGTGAAAGCAGAGTTCCAAGCCTCACGTAACTCACACACTCCTGCCCTCGATCCCGCTTTTGTTCCACGGCCATAAGGCGATGGGATGAGTCCAGATCAGAGCACTAATCTAGCAGAAAACAAATTCCTGTCTTTTTAGAGTTAGTGCTCATTTGGATTGGCAAATCACCACATTCCTCATCTAATCTGACCTTTAGAAAAAGTATTTGTTAACTCTGAATTCATCTCCTAAGATTTACATTGTGCTGTTCAGCACTCTTAACACAGCAGCATTACCAGCACTCTGGCTGGAACCCTCCCTGTCCATGCTGCTGTGAAACTTCTGCAACAGAGCCAAGTGGCATCCAGCACAAGGAACAATTTGCCCTCACCCAGGTGCAGGTACAGGACAGGCACAAACTGACCCAGGGCTCTGCTGCCCAAGGAGATATCTGGGCATTCCCTTTGGCAGATGCCCACCCTTCCCACCACGCTGCTGGGCAGCAGCAAGGCATCAGCCCAGCTCATGGACACTCCCAGGGCAGGCAGCTGGAAGGGCAAGAGTTCTTCTTCCTTCCCCATGCTCCCTCAGCCATGGCATCAGCAGAAGTACAGACTCTACCAAGAAGAGGGAGCCCAATTTCAGATTTGATGGTATTCAGGAGGTTCAGAACTGTGGCTGTATGTCCCAGCCAGTCAGAGCTCAGGGGCCAGAGCCACCTGCCATCCCTGCCAGCAAAGCCAGAATTTTAAAGCAATGAAAAATTAAGGTGAAAAATGTTCATCCACAGAAGACTCAGAAGGTTCACATATATATGTGAACAGAAGAAAGCCTTATTAATGGCAAAAGCCAGTTTGTGCTCCTCTACAATGAGGCAATGGTTTTCACAATGCTATTCAGCTCCCTCTGCCTACAGCACAGGGAATCCATTCCCAATATTTAGGTGTAGTTGAAGGCTAATCAAGATCTCATAAGTTACCAGGCCTCTTACTGTTATTGAATTTCCTTCCATTTCTTATCTTGAGTAGCTATTACGATTTCAGGTATTCAAGTGAACGTCATTCAGAAAAGATAAGGTAATAATCCATTGATATAGGACCCTTGTATTTAGATTTCAGCATATCCAGCTCCCTGTTTATGTTATTAACCATGGTAGAAAAAAGGGGGTTTGAATTACACTGTATTTCTTTCTCAGATGGTGTACAGAATAGAAATTACTCAGCAGATGTCATCTATCCCTCTTCAGCAACAGAGAGGAGATTTGTCAGGGTAATTTTCCCTGGTTTCCTCAGGAATGCAAATTTTGCAGAGTTCACCCCAAAATGCCTCCTTTAACACATCCATTATAGCACTTTGAAAGGAGAGATGAAACAATTCCTATCTGTTTGACTAAGCTTTGAAACAAAAAAAAATCTTTTTAGAGACAAGGCCCTCTAGACCTTAAGGGAGGAATCTTACCCCTCCACCCTCCTCTCCAATATTAAATTAATTTTATAAAGGAATTAGACCTATAAACCAATGTTCTTTAGTACACATGCTGCTAAACTTACACAACCTGCTAAATCTATGCCAGCTGATAACAAGTGTTTCCTTTAATATTGAGAACTTCTCAGAAGATGCTGTACTTTGCCATGCAACCATTACTTGATTTCCAGTAAACCAAACTATTCAAGGACACAGTCACATTAATTAAATTCTATGTTGAAATGTGACTTCTCTTAAATGTTGGTGTGTGTTCAAATGGCACAAAAACTACTCAAGCTTCGTGTGAGTGATTTATAACCACCAATATAAAAAAAGCACACCAAGAATTTCCCAAAGAACTGTGAGGAAACAATGTTTCTTCAAACAAAACAAATCTACACAGGAGGAATAAGCCAACCTGGCAGCTTGGTGGGGAGACACCTTGTCCTCCACCCCCTCACTCCTGCCTCTCTCCAGGATGTGGGGCTCTTCCTCTTCCTCCTCCTCCCTTGCATCAGCTCTGAAAATTATCAGACTCCTGACTGACCCACTTCAACTCTACTGCAGGATATAACACCAATTTTTTTTCTGCCTGGTTAATAAAATGCTCAGGTAAATGTGGCAAGCACCAGAGCTGCCTGGGGACAAGGGGATCTTTTGGTGGCAGCGGACAGAGCACCCACTCTGGGCCATGTGATGTCAGCAGGGTGGCAGGATGCTCTCCCAGAGCAACCTGGGCTGCCTCAGGGAATGGGTCAGAAAGGGCCGGGGAGGAAGAGTGGAGAAACTTCTACATCACCTTGAGTAAGCAACTTTCATCCCAACCCTTCACTTACTTCTTCAGCAGATGAGCACCCAGGTCCCTGATTGTGGTCATTCAGGATATTCCTGCCCCTCTCTGGACTGCTACCAACCAGTTGCACAGTTGGCAAAGGGGAAGAGGTAACTGTATTTCAGATGTGGTAAGGTGAGAAGCCCAGTGTCTTCACCTTAAAACTCCGAGGATCTGAGTTTAAGCCGAAGGGTCAGAAAATTAAGTTTCAGTTTCCAGAGTTAATGTGCTTTCTGTAGGCTCAGTAGGCAAAACATGAAATGTCCTATCTTATTAATGACAGAGCACCACTGCCTGAAGCTCCTTCAAATAATATTCACACTCAAGGTCAGCAAGAAGATACAGACCACACAATTAAAAATATATAGTGGAAGTCCTTTAGCTTTAATGCTATAGTAGCAAAAGGAAAAAAAAATAAAAGCACAGTTTGGTCTTAAACATAACTAAAATCTCAGGCCTTTTTTGAAAACGAGGTTGTCAAATGCACCCTTTCTTTGAAATAAATCAAAGCTGCACACCTAATGATGAGATGGGGCGGGGGCAGTAAATGGAAGGAGGGCAGTAACTTCTTTTTCAAAGTAATGTAGGAGTTGCACTGGACATTTAAATTATTCTCTGGAAAAGGGCTCACCCCCCACCAGTGTATTTAACACCTGGTTTGCTGCGTTCTGCATTCAGCAGTACAGCAAAGAGGAGCCAGCAGCCTTTCAGCTCCAATTATGGCCACCAGCTCCTCCCGTGGCCACCTGGCCTCGACCACGAGTGACACAGACCATGCTGCATCTCCAGGCTCCACACCTGAAATGAAGATAACCCTGGGCATACAGTGGAATCAGCTCATGCTTCAACCAGGATGCAGGTGGTGAGGTGCAGTATCCCTCTGCTCCATGGCACTCTGCTGGGAGTGTGCTTGGCAATCCCTCCACTGAACAGGAATCACAGCACACCCCTATACTTGACACAGGCAAGCTGTCAACAAATAAAAAGGCCCCAAGAAGCTGAGAGGATTAGGGAGAAAAAAATCAAAACTACTAATTCAATACATTTGAAAATCCCCTAATGATCATACCAACCTGTTTTAAATCAATCCCTATACTGAGACCTATACCATTACATCAATTTCTTTCAGACTATAAACTAAAACAAGCATGCAAGCCTCAGTCCTAACCAATGATTAGTAAAGCCCCCATTTTCCAGATCTTTAAAGTAATTTTAAGTGCTACAGCTATTAAGAGATCTATCACAACTCTGATGGGCAATAGCAGAAACCTTAAACTTCCTTAAGACAAAGCTCTTGAAAAAAAAAACCAGTTTATTTTTACACAGTATTTATCAATTTATTGCAATGTATCAGAAAGTTCTGAATGGCCTGACCAGCTTTACATGCTTTGCTGAATTTTGAAATGAAAGCAAGAGAACATTTGCTTAAGTCAACAACATAAGTCACCAGTTTAAAGGTTAACACTTGATTGTGCAGCACAAGAAACAGACGCTTTATCTTCCCAGTTCAAGGACTCCCGGATTTCTGAACAGCAGAACATTAACACTGCAACGGGCCAGGTTGCAGCACACTTTGGAGATACAAACAGAGCAGGGTGCAGCACAGAGGCCTCAGAGTGTCACTTGGGAAGAGAGCAGCTCAGGCCCAGCTGTCCCCACGCACTGGCATGCCAGCAGCCAGCTGGGAGACACCGCTGGGCCATCACCCATCCTGTCCTGGCAGCAACTTTTTAACACACTGAACACTGGCACTGACACCAGCGCGGTTGTGATTCATGTGGGGCAGCTGCTGTAAAGCTTCCAGAGCTCCTCTTCCAGCCAGGAGACACCAAAGCCAAGCCCAGCACCCTCACCAAGATCCCATTCAATCAACAGAAAACCACAGGGAAGATGGAAGTACTGCACTGATGCGAGTACAGCTGTCCCAGATAAGGGAAATATAGAAATAAATAAGGTCCTTATCTACTGCAGCAAGAAAAAGGCAGGCTCAGGGGAATGGGTGGGTGAGTGAGAGAAGCAAAAACTGTACCTAGAGAAGAAAGAAAATCTGAAATTAAATGAGGCATGCATTCCTAATTAATGCAGTTTTAGTGTGAAAATTAATCTCAAAATCCCAGAAGTGAGTTAAGACATCAGCTTAGGCACTGGTCAAACCAACAGCCACCCTCTGTTCCTCCAAAACACTGGCATGGGCCTGCTCCTTCCAGCCAAAGCATCTGTACCAGAGCTGCCTGGGGAAGGACCCATCACAGCTCAGTGCCACTGTGCAGACAGTGACAAAAAGAAGTTTCATCAGAAATTAGTCTGGGAATCAAAGGGAGCAATTCTGAGCCAGAATGTCAAACTGGATCCATTAAAAAAAAAAGGTGATTGCTGTAGCTGGGCTGTGTTGTCATACATTGCTTACGTTTGTTTTAATTTTAAACTAAGTGTCAGTCCAAGGTTTGTTACACAAACATATGGCACCAGTATTACATTCTATCTTGTATTTATAGAAAGTGCTGTGGCAGCCCAGGCAGTGCAGAAATGCCATAATGTTAACAACATTTATTATTAGTATGACAAAAGAACAAAAATAAGCCTGTAGAAATCGTGACTTAAAAGTTTTTAAGGGACCGATTGGAATAGGGTGCCAAAGTGTGGAGATACTAACTAAAATTCTTCCAGTATTAATACTCATACAGCCCCCAGGCTGCCAAGTATTTAGTTATATAAATACAGCCTCGAAAAGGTAATTTGTTTAAAACCCAAGCCCTGAAAACTGATTAGCACATTTAATGCTAGCCCGATTAACACAGATATGCCCTCAGCTGGGTGATGGGAGCATTGAGGCAGAAGTCCGCATTCCTGTAAGTGAAGAAGAACAAAGCTTTTGGGACAAAGGGTAAACCTTAATTATGCCTTTTTATTACCCAAACTGCCACTTCCTCCTTACCCCAAACAAGGCAAGAAGGCTAATGGCACATTCACATAGCCCCATAAGCGATGTGATTGATAAATGCCACTACTAGATTTTTCCACTCCAGCTGTTGCACTAGAAGCAGCAGAGGTTTGATTCTCCAGCCTCTTAAAAAAAAAAAAAAATTAAAAAAGAAGAAAAAGAAAAGCAGGATACAGTACACCGCTGACATTCCCGAACCTTCTGGAAGCGTTTATTAACTTTGGCCACCGACCAGCGAGGGCTGCAGGAGCAGCCTGGAGTGGCAGTGCAAACTGGTTAATCTGTAGCTAGACATATCTGTGATTGGGGGGGGTGGTGTTTAGCATGAAATACTCCTGCCTGGCAGCCAGGGCTTCGGCACTTGGAAGGGTTACTGGTGTTGTTTTTTGTTTTGTTTTGTTTTTTTTTTCCAAAAAATTTTATTGGGAGAACTACAAAACATTTACAGTACAAAGTTTACAGTCTCACATAATCTGTAGTGAACTGACTCCCGAAAAATATATTACAACTCAAGTTGACTTATCCTTTAGTTACATTCAAAACATACTTCTGTTAAAGTAGTCCAAAAGAGTACATAGTGCTCAATCTGTACCTATGTACAAACAAAACTAAGCTACTGCTCATTCATCCACCGTCCAGGAAACTTTTGGAAAACTCCCAACTTTCTACAATAGGGAAAAAAAAATACAGGTTTTGGAATTCAATAAACAAGATATGTTCCTGTATTATAGAAAGTTTCAGATCCAAAGATGGCCTCTGTTCTTATAAAATAGAGTGGCGAAATTTTGCTGTATTTAAAACCCATCCCTACATTCAAATTATCTCAAGCATTAGGAAAAATACTTATTTGGTTGAGAGATATTTAAGGCAAGCATGGACCCTCAAGAAGGCACTGTGAGACATAATACTGGGACCCCCAATTATTGCTACATACTTTGAGACTATATCACAGTGTGATTCGTGGAGTTAGGCAACAAAAATACTTTTTGGTTATTTTTAACAAGTCTGAATTAGATTTGCCACTTTGAAGTCTGATTGCTAAGTCAGTCTTTTTTTTTCTTTTTTTTTTTCTCTCGTTTTTCAACTCGGACGGGCTACAACCATTTACATTCTAAAAAAAAACCCATAGAAATTCCGCAAACTACTTCCACAGCATCGAGACCGATTTCTATAAAGAAACCATGCAATCTTTCAGATTTACGTAAACAAAGAAAGAAATTAATGAAATAAATATTACATACCATCTCTTAAATTAAGAATTTTACTCATTTACAATAAAATAACCAAGTGAAGTTACAAAAAGGCATATATTACTGTGAAAAGAACACACTCCACATTTTGCCGATTAATAATGAAAATCATAATTTAAACATAATAAAAGAATATATATCTATTGCTTTTCATCATACCCGATAAATACAGTATGAACAAATTACCAATGTATACTTTTCACAAGATAATAAATAAGTTAAATAGTTTCATATTGAGTTGTGTGCAGTGACTCATACATGCAATCAACTCAAACAGCTAAAAAAAAATTTAAAAAATCAGCAGTTATTCTCCAACAATTACAAACTAAACTCAGTTGAGTGCTTCCAAATAAAGCAACAACAAAAAATTGTTCTAAAAGCCAAACATCCACTAAGTGGTGGCAATGGAACCAATATTAAACTTTGGAATGAAGGTTTTAGCATTTGTTATAATAATAATATATAGATATATATAAAAAAGAAGGTTGTTATCAAGGCATATTCTTGGCAGGATGTTGGATTTTTCTTTTTTTTTTTTTTCCTAAAAAAAAGCTTATAGGTTTAGTATGTTCTGTGTTTTTATTTGAACTGGATTGAAAGACAAACTAGTTTGTAACTTTTTTTCTGTGTGTCTGCAGGATTGGAGGAGCTGGGCTGGCGAACCGGCGCTCCCCGGATTGTTTGTTGCTTTCTGGTGCTGTCTTTTCTAATGCTGTTTTGTTTTTTTTTTTCGAACACAGATGGAATGGCTGCTGCTGGTGCGTATCATAACTTGTCTCCAAAGAACGACAACAACAACAAAAAAAAACCCCGAAACAAAAATCCCCTTCTTCCAAGGTCTCTCTATAAAAATAGGTTTGTTCAGTTCGTGTCATTTGCCCTTTTGCAAAATGCTTTGTTTCTCGTTTTGTTCAGCTCTCGGTGGATAGATAGATAGATATATATATATAAAAAAAACCCAACCAAAAATAGAGAGGAAGGAGAGGTTTCGCTTTCTTCGCTCGGTAACTTACTTGCAGGGCCGCCGCGGGGCCCCCCCGGCCGCTGCCCCGCGCTCCCTCAGTCGTCGGAGATGGAGAGGCGGCTGAAGATGGGCAGGCGGCGGCCCGAGTCCAGGCTGGGCGACTCGGAGCCGCTGAGGGAGCCGGAGCTGAGGGAGCCGCTCAGGTAACTCTCCCGGTCGGAGAGCGAGTCCGGCGGGCTGGGCGGCGCGTCGAAGACGGGCGACTCGGAGAGGCGGCGGAGGGGCTGGAAGCTGAAGGGCGGCGAGGCGGGGGGCGGCGGGCAGGCCCCGCCGGGCGGCGGCGGCTGCTGCTGGCAGCGGTAATAGGCGGCGGCGGCCGCGGCCGCGGCGGCGGCAGCGGCGAAGTTCTGGGTGTGGAGGGCGAGGGGGGCGATGAGGCTGCCCAGCTCCTGCCCCGAGAAGGCGAACGCGTTGTTGGCGCAGGGCGGCGAGAGCAGCTCCTCGCAGTAGGAGGCGGAGGCGGGCGGCGGCGGCGTGCGCGACCCGCCGGGGCTCTCCAGCAGGGCGGCGTCCAGGCGGCCACCGGGCGGCGGCGGCGGCGGGGCGGTGCCGTGGGGGTGCGGGGGGTGATGGTGGTGGTGGTGGGCGGAGAAGCCGGAGAAGCTCAGGCTGTGGTGCAGCTTGGGCCGCTCGCCGCCGCCGCCGCGCGGGTGCCCGAAGCCGCCGCCGCCGCCCAGCGGGTGGTCGCGGGGGGCGAAGGCGCGGAGGTCGCCGGTGCTGCCGGCGGGGTGCGGGGCCGCGTGGTGCGGGTGGTGGTGCGGCCCGGCTGCGGCGGCGGGCGGGGGGGCGGCCGTGCCCCCGCCGGGCGCCGGGCGGCGCTCGTCGGCGTTGTGGATGAAGTGGCAGCGCGGGCCGTAGGGGCAGAAGCCGATGGTGTGGAAGGTGCGGCAGAGCTCGGTCTTGTACTTGGGGTGGCGGGTGAGGCTGCGCAGCTCGTGGAAGCCGTGGGCGAACTGGCACTTCTCGCCGTACTTGCAGGCGCCGCTCTCCTCGAAGGGGCGGCACAGCTCCGTCTTGTAGCGCGTCGAGTTGATGGGGGCCCCGCCGCCGCCGCCGGAGCCGCTCCCCTTGCCGGCCGCCTGCTGCTGCTGCTGAAGCTGCTGCATGAGGTGCTGGCTGCGCTCGCCGTTCTCGCTGAAGGAGCGGTCCCGGAACTTGTTCTCCTTGTTGAGCAGGGCCGTGGGGCTGCTGCTGCCGCCGCCTCCGCCGGAACCCGTCTCCTTCAGATTGCCGAACGAGGAGGAGGAGGACGACGACGAGGAGGAGGATGTGGAAGAAGAGCTGGAGCCGGTGGGGCTGGGGAACTTAGAGCCGCCGGCCAGCGCCGTCAGGTTGCTGGTCGAGTGCCGCCGCAGGAAGCCCGGCGCGAAGCTGGAGCTGGGAGGGGTCACCGGGGTCCCCACGGCTTTCTTGTCCAGCATGCTGCTGAGGTTGGTCAGGGACTTCTCTGTCTGCCGGGGCGGGGAGAGGGGAGGGGGTGGGGGAGACAGCGGGAGAGAGAGAGTGTGTTGCGGGTGACCGCTTGCCCACGGCCACGGCTCCCCACGCAGCACCGCCGCGGGAGTCGAGGCGGGGGTCGCGCCGCCCGACCAACCCCAAAGCGGGTCTGCCGGCAGCGCCGGTGGGGCAGGACAGCGCTGGGGAGAAACCCCCGCAACAGCTCTGCTGCATTTACAACTTTTCTCAAAAGTTCCTCCTGGCAGCGCAACACGCGGGCAGGGGCTGCGGAGCGGCCCGGCTCCCCCGCGGCTGCAGGACCAGCCCGCCCCAAACGCGGCGGCCGGGACACCACGGGGCGGCATTCCGGGGCTCGCAGCCTTGCGTCAGCCGCTGTCCCCGGGCGGCTGTCAGACCGTGACCCGCCCGCAGAGCCTGGCCCGGCACGGGCCTCCCGCCCCGCCGCGCTGCCCCGGTAGCCCCGAGCGTCGCTCTGCACATGGCGGCGGCGGCAGCGGCAGACCGCGTCCCGCCCGGCCAAACGCGGTCTTCCCTACCTTGCACAAGAAGTCAATGTCGTAGAAGGCAGATAAAAGTGTCGTCGACATTTCTAGATCCTGTAATGGTCGGATATACAGGAAGGACCGAAAGATCCCGCTCTCCTCGGAGGGTTTGGAAAAGCCACGACTAGATAGGAGAGGGCCGTCTGCTTGAGATCCGAAACGGTCCCGACTCCTTCCCGGCGGGACGGCGGGTGCCGGGCCGAGGCGGCGACGGCGGCTGCACAGCAGCGGGCGAACTGGAACAACTCAGCGGCGCCCCGCGCTACTCCCATATAAACGCGGCCGCGGCTGCTTCGCGGGGGGCGGTGCCCCGATCCGCCCGCCCCGCGCCGCCCGCCGGGCCCGCCCCGCTCCAGCCCTCGGGCCGGGCCGCTCCGACTCTTACAGAGGGCGCTGTCAGCGGCGGCGGGGCAGGTTCGTGGGGAGCGGCTGTGCTGCAGCGAGCCCCCGGTCCCCCCGAGCGGGGTGCATCCGCAGAGCAGGCGGGGGGAGCGGGGAACCAGCCAAGGCAGCGCTCACGGCGCCCTACGGGCTCGGCCCCTGCGGAGCGCCCCTCCTCGCCCCAAAGACCCGACGCCCCCGCGCTGCCGCTGTCCGCGCACGGCTGCCGCCGAGCGGAGGATGCGCGGGGCCGCGGTAGAGGCGCGGCAGCGCCGGGGACGCTTCTTCCCCCCGCCCCGCCGAAAATAAACTTTTGCCACGTAATTGCTCGAAACAAAGGTCGGGACCTCGTTGCCCCGGTGCGGCTGCCGGGACGGGGCTGGGCATGGGTTGCGCGCCCCGCCGTTTCTTCCGTCTTTTCGGGAACCTCGGGTTTGGCGCTTACTTTCTCTCTGAAGTTTCGGAGAGGCTGACGGCCAGGCGCGGAGGCGAGGTGGCATTATCCTCGCAGCGACCTGGCTGATGAACGACCCCCACCTAACCCTGTCTGCATCTCCCTCCCGCGCCCCGCACCCCTGCTACGTCTCTCTTCCACGCTCGGCCCCTTCCCCCCTCATCCCCGCCAAGGTCCTGTGACCCACCGAGTCCCCCGGCCGCCGCCCCAGGTGGCCCCCACCGCCGGGCCGCGGGCGAAGGCAGAGGCCGGTCCCCGCGGCGGGGCTCCCTCCCGGGACGGAGTCGGCCGCGGGCCAAAACACCCCCGCCCCCCCCGCGCCGATAAGGCCGCGCAAACACGGTGTGGGAACGGCGGCGGCGGCTCCTCTGCGCCCCCGTCCCCTCCCGCGTTTGCTCGGCCCCGGGACAAATGGGAAGGAGAACAGAGACGGGCGGACGTGTAAAGTTTTATGGCTGCTAAAGCCAGCAGAGGCGTTTGATCCTCTTGAGCTTCCGAGCCGGGATGGCAGTCCCGCGCACTCCGAGGGAGCAAACCCGACCACGTCAGCAGGAGCGCGGCGCTGTGCAAACACATTTGCCATGGACAGAAAGCCCGGGCTGGGGGCGGGGGTGTCACCAGAGCCCCTTTGCTTCCTCCCCTCGTCCTGCACCTCCCAGGCCGCTGCGGGAGGGAGGCTGCAGGCGGGACCGTGCCCGGACCCCGCCGCGGCCCGGGAGCCGTCACCCACGGCCGGCCGAGCCCGGAAACCGGGATAGTAATCTCCCGGGAAAGACGAGGAGCTGGGCGGCGGAAAGCCCAAACCTCTCTCCCTCCCGTGTCCCGGCAGTCCCCTGGGGCCCGTCCCCCGCTCGGCGGGCGCTGACGGACTCGGCCGGGCAGGCTCCTGGCCCCGTTCCCGGCCCCGCTCCGGTTCCCGGCCCCTCCCGCTGCCCGCGCGGCTGGCGGGGACGTGCCGCCCCCCAGCGGCCGCGGGGCCCGCCGTGCCGGGACACATCCCACGTTCCTGCTGCTTCCCCTCCTCCCGTCCTGGCCACGGGCGCTGCCCCGCACACGGGGAGCCGCCGGAGCGCGGGGCTGCAACCATAATGTGCATCGCTTCCCATAACCTTCTCCGGGGCCGGCCGGAGTCGCCTCCGGGTCAGTACCCGAGTTCAAACTCTTCCTCCTCCCACACAACTGCGATGGCAACATCACCTCGGAGTTGATCCTGCCCACCAGCCAACCGAGGGAACAGTTTACTGTGACAATCATGCACGGATCAATGTGTCAACGCCATTGGGAGGAATACTTTGATAAAGTGACTTTGATCAAACACACGGCCGATAAGTGCTCTGACATTAGGTTTTGCTAGCTCTCTCCTGCAATCGCTGCTCGGGGTCTAAAGGTTCTTCATTGAGTAGTTACACAGTAACCCGTCATCAGCACCGTGTGGTGAAATGTATGCGCACTGATATAATTCTTATTTGCTCTCTTATAAACTCGGGCGGGATGACAGAGGTTCCAGTTGGATCTTAAAAACACAATAAGGAAGACTGAGTTTTCGAGCTGTTTTGGTAACTGATTAACCAAGTCCTCAAGGCTTCACCAAGTTTTACGGTCACTGTGGGTCTACTCTGGGTTACTGTGCTGTCTGCATTTATCGATTTGCCAGTATCAAATATATATGCATACGCGTTTCAAATTCCACACAATTTAAAAAGATGCCAACGTTACTGGAGCGTCTTATGCTACCCACTGACACGAGCAAGGTCTCAGAACTTTACAGTGATTTTGATACATACAAAGTACTTTTTTCTCTCCTACTACAGAAGCTAGTTCAGAAATGATGGAAAGATGTGGCAAAATCAGCAGTTGTTAATTAATTGTACAGGTCTTGCGTATTTTTTAAAGGGTGGCTTCCAGACACAGTCTGGGCTATTCTTTCCCCAGGAGCTCTAACCAGATGCATACAAATTAATTTTTAGCCTAACTCGCAGAATGGCTCATTAAGCTGGATAGCGGGCATTCTGCGAAACACCATTTCAGATTCCAATATTTCTCTTTTGCCTATTGAAGCCTCAAGTTTCACCATAAATTACTTTTTATATAAGTAACCCTGAATCCTGGAAACTTAGAACGAATACTAAACTTTTATTCTTAAGTTCTGTTTGTTGGGACTTTGTGCAGTGTACAGATGTCCACTGGACTCAACGCGGCAGCTTAGCTCTATTTAGAGCAGAGTCTATTTAGACTCAAGGGAGTCGCCTGCTATCGGCTATGGGGCACCGCAGCACCAGCACTGCGAGCACCGCCGGCCCAAGCCTTACCCTGCCCCGGCTGAGCCCGAGCCCGAGCCCGAGCCCGGCCCGGAGCGGCGGTGCTGTGGCGCCACCTGGCGGCCGCGCGGCGCAGCAGGCCGAGCTGCTGTGGCGGGCCCGGCCGCGGGACGAGCGCCCGGGCATTACCGGGGCGTCACCGAGATTCAGGGCTGACCTGCGCTCGGACACCGTCAGCTGGAGAGGCCGAAAGCAACCAGGCGTGCATCGGACGTGTTCTTCTTCCAAGGACACCGAAATCACGGCGTACAGGGCCGCACATCCGTGTTGTGGCGGGCCCAGCCACGCTGCAGCCACGAATCCAGTCGCAGCCCGTGGCTATGGGAAGGTAACACAACCTTTTCACATCAGCATTTATTTTTGATGTCTCACTTTCATATCGGAACCCAATTCCAGTTCGCAGAAAAAAACCCCAGACAACATTCAATGTGCAATGAGCTTTTTTGTGTTTTAGACACAGCAAAGACCCCGGAGCACTCAGAACAGTCCCTGCAGCTGCCCCACCTGGTGAGAGCATCTCCCAAAATCGAGGGCTGCAGCACAGAAACACCTCACACTCCTCGGCTGGACCTCGCTTTCCAGGCCTGCTTGCACTGCAAGGTGTTTGAAGTAAAGATGAAACTGTTTCATTTTCAATGGAACAGCTGCTTTGTTTCAAACACAGCAAGTCTTCATTTTAGAGCCATTTTATGAAAGCAGTTTTTTGATTTGAAGGAGAAAAGAGGGATACAGAAATCTAAACAATGGTGTTTCCATGTGCAAAACAAGGTTACTACCAAAGTGAAAATCTTTGTCTTCCTCCAGAGGAAAATGCAGTAAAATTTACAATGTACTCTAAAAATTGCCATAAACAAAGAAGTCTCGGTTTCTTTTTCTATTAGAAACACTTAAAGACTTTTTAAAAAGAGCATATTAATTTAATAATTAATATGCTACATCTTAAAAGGAGACCAAAAAAACCCCAAACTTTTTCTTGGTATTAAGATACAGGAGGTAAAAATGTGGGACAAAACATAACAGAACTACAGGTGGCCTGCACCTGGATGAATGGAAAATATTAGGTTTAGCTGCTTTACTTCCTACAGTAGCTGCAATAAACAATGCTTAGCTGAATGAAATTAGCAAATGTATTTAAAAGGAAAAGTCTCCCACTGCATGTCCCACCAAAAAAAAAAATCAATGGAAATTAACTAATACAAAAAATGTAGCTCTAGCCTGAATACTGAAGGTAATGCAAGTTTCCTGAAGTCATCACAGCAATCCCTGATTCCTTGAACTTTGCTGGAATTCAGTCTCCCTGCCAATCCAGTAATGTGTGCAGCTCCCTGAAGATGAAATTTTACTAAATTACTTTTCCAGATTTTCATTTTTACAAGTATCATCAGGCTTCAGCAGATTTAATATTTTAAGACAGACTGATATTCTCTCCCTTTGAATAGTCAATTTTGTGAATTCTGGAGTCCTGGAGAACTCTGGAACCAGAGGTAGAGATCCAAGAAGTTGTTCAGTGCACTGGGCTTGGTCCAGTGCTATTCTTGACAGACGATTAAGTTCCTCATGATCTAGTAAGGTGAGATGAGTCACTGATATAAGATGTGAAAGGTGCTTACTAAGTTGTCTCACATGAGTCAGCTTTTCTGCCCAAAAATTCACTTCCCCTTTATCAAACAGGGAATCATCTTCTTCCTTAACAAAAAGAAAACCAACAGTGATTAGAAAATGACTCGTGGTTTGATAACAACAATAATAAAAGATAATAAAAGATATGAAAAAGGATATATATAGAAATGATGACAACAGAGGCTGTCATAGAACAGCTTTTTATATTAAAAAAACAAGGTAAACATTCATACACCTTGTTTTTAAAGGTTTGGGAAAACACAGTAAAAAGGTTCCTACTTTGCCAAAGAAATTTTACCTTCAAAAATCAGGCAGTTATGGCACAAGTCTTGGGAAATACTGAAATAGTAGGCCTAATCCTTAACATGTGCTTGCCTTCCCCTATGAAGCAGTATTATATTTCACAAAGACCTCTGTAAGCAGTATGGTGATTTGCTATATCATGGAGCTTTTTGACTGGATTAAATGAAAATTGTATCAGTCAGTGAAACATCAGAAATGCACACCTAAACT